CATCATATGTATATGTACTGGTATGTAGAACTTTTAATTTAACAATTCCCAGATGTTGACATTTTTGATCCATTGACATAAGTAGTGCTCTGAGGCAGAAGTAGAGTGTGTTTACTAAAATAGTTAAAATGCACTTAGAGTAGCCCCTTGACCCACCAAATCCTTTCCTGTTCTCCATTACAACGAGGTAATTGGACCCTAAACATTGAATTGCCAGTTTAGCTGTAAGTTAATTGCCTTCCCCACCCTATTACTGTAACTGATACACAATAAAACAATCCCCTTCCCCGAAGCTGTAATTTTGGGCACATTTTTTTCGGCGATTGATATCTTTTTAGCCATCAAACCAGCAAGTAATTTCTGCCTATGATCTGTTGCCATGCTATGTTGAGTGAATGGATGGCCCTCACTCTGCTTTGCACGCCACACCTGAGCCTGCTGCCAAACAAGTGCACATGGCAGAGAAACATATAATTCTCTAATGAAACCTGAGCTGTGTCAATTTTGGCCATTTTTCTCAGTAGCTTTGGGAACAATGGCAGTCCTATTGAATTGTGATGCAGAAGGCGTGAGATACTTGATTTTAAATAATGTTTCTCCCTGTTCTCCCTCCTTTCCCTCATCATCACACTGTCGTCTTTCCCTCCTAAATGTCTTCCTTCCTCACCCACATGCCCTTTTTATATCCGTCATGGCAATTCTTTCTCTCGACTTCCGTGTTCCGCGTCATTCTGTTTCTTTTCTTCCCAATCCTCCTCTGCTCCTCCTCCTCCTCCTCCTCCTCTCCTCCTCCTCCTCCTCCTCCCTCCCCTCCTCCTCCTCCTCCTCCTCCTCCGTCGTCTCTCTCCAGGTTCAGCCGGTGGTTTCTCGGGGCAGCCTGGCCACCGTCCCGTGCGGGGTGAGCAGAGAGGAGGACACGGGTCGCTCCCACAGCACCAAGAAGGGAGCCTTTCACGAGATCTTTAACCTGCAGGAGTCAGAGCGCCCTCTGGCGGGTGAGGGGACTTACTGCAGCATTAGTCTACCTGTTTTCATTTGCACCAGTGTACCAAATGTCCACATTTCTGCAATGCATTTTTCACAATTCACGTCTCATTCATAACAGTTTGTTATTTAAAGATAGAAATGCTACGTCCAACTCTGTGGTTGGAAGTAAAAACAATTTGGAGCAGACTACAAACTGTAATCATGAACTAACAAAAGCAAAAATCTCAGTTCTTCAGGTTGATTTTTTTTTAACACTGGTACAGCAAACAAGGTTCTCACTGCTCTGTGTGTTTTCAGTGTGTGAGAACGGCTGGAGGTGCTGTCTCATAAACAGAGACAGGAAGATGCCCACAGACTACATCAGGAACGGAATGCTCTACGTCACAGAGAAGTAAGTGGGACATCTTCTCTCAGGAGAGCATCTTTTATCATTAAATCTCTTACTGCAGGGGAGAAAAAGTTACTTTTAAAGGTGGTGCAGAGAGGAGAATCAGGTGGTTCTTTACTAAGAGCTGCACCATCTCCTCCCTCTCCCTCGCTGACTCAGTCAGTCAACAGTGGATCAAGTAGAACAGCCCTTCTCCTGAGAATCTCTTTTATCTATAAATCTCTTCACCTCTTTGGATATGTAACTGACAAGAAGTCCATTCAGTTTGTCGTCCGTTTTGCTTGCGTGCTTGTTTTTCCTCGAGACCCCTTTCAGCAAGCTATTTTTGTCTTTCTCTCCGTCAGTTACCTGTGCTTTGAGAGCTCCAGCTCCAGATCCGGCTCATCCAAGAAGAATAAAGTTATCAAGCTGGTGGACATCACTGACATCCAAAAGGTAATAAAAGTGGACAGTTTGAATAAGGTGCAGGAGGACGCATCATTAACCATCATGTAACAAATTACAAATTTGAATGTGATTTGGCATGAGGTTATGTACCTGCTGCGTTTTTTTATTCTCATAATAATGTGAAATTAAAAATCCTAACCTCTTCTTTTTCTGAACCCCTCCAGTACAAAGTGCTGTCAGTTCTACCAGGAAGTGGGATGGGTATCTCAATAGCCACCCCGTCCACTCAGAAGGTACAGTATGCAATCTATTTAGATTTATATGGTGGCTTTTGGAATTTATTAGATTCTGTATATTCATAAGTGTATTGTTTATTCAGATGGGTTGTACAATACATTTCAGTTAGGCAGTCAAGCAGTATCTTTAATTTGCAGATACCTGATTTTAGATGAGTTTGTGGCCTCGCAAAAATGTCTTCAACACTTTCCTAATATTCTTTTACCTCCAAGATCCCCTCTAGACTTGCTCTGAGACATACAAATACTCTGCTTTGAATAATAATTTGTCTGACAAGGTTTTTCTAATTATCCAGTTGAAGATTCTTGATATTACATCTGCTCCCTCTCTCTCATTAAAAAAATCCAGAATCTATGAATGTATAAATATTGTTCATTTTAAAACTACTGGACACAAGGGGTGTGTGTGGGTGCGTGTGTGTGTGCGTGTGCTAGAGGTTTAAAATTTCCACATGTACCAGGGTTGACCTGACAAACTAAACTAGTTGTGATGTCACAAAACCCTGCTAAAAGAAGAAAGGGATGGAGGAAGCCACACAGTGTGCCGTAGGACCCAGAGCTTCCCCACCTACACTATCACAAACATTGTAACTAAAATAACGACCAGATCTCCTTCCTCAAAAAAACAAAACAAAAATAAAGAGCAAAGAAGCAAACACTGATGAGATTAGAGGCTGCTTTGTCTAGAAGAGAGTTACTGCTTCCCTAGTCTCCCTTCAATATGGGGCCTGGGCCACCAACCAGTCATCCTTAATGAGGAGCACCTGAGAGAGTAAGCAGAGAAAGGAGGGAAGAAAAACACAAGGGGAGCCTCTCATGTCAAACTCTTATTAAACATAAATTATTCTACGCAGTGAAGCTCTAACAAGTGATAAAGTGACAAACAAAGCATTTTGAGTGGATCTTTAAATTGATTTTATATTTGGCTCCTTGGTGAAAACCTGACATTGCTATTTCAAATGTTGGAACGTCTCTAATTATGAACGGCTGTTGAATTTTATTCATTTGTGATTGCAAGTTTGGTCTTTGTATACTTAGCTTTAAGATAATGGCAACTTGCAAACAGAGCCGAAGTGCTGAGGCTTTTTTTTTTTACCCCTGTATACCAGATGAGAAACTTCCATAGGCAGCACTGTATATACTGTACTGTATATCACTTTAGATCACAATTCCAGTTGTTAGGTAAGGTTGCATATTAGCAGCAACAAATCGGAGCGCGAGAACACTTTGAAGGACTCCCATAGCTTCAGTTTTCATAATTCTTTCTTCTTCTGTGGTGTTTGGTTGTGTTAATATGTTCATTTCCATTGAACATTCTGTGGCGTGTTACTCAGGGATATAACATATTCTTTACTGTCATCCTTGTTTGGATTTAAACTCATTGGTGCTGTATTGCATAAACTCTTACCAACTGTTGCTGCTGTAACATGTAAGCTGTAGATATTTATAAGCCTTTTTCTGTTTTCCCCCAGCCATTGGTATTTGGTGCCATGATCCACAGAGACGAGGCTTTCGAGGCCATCTTTACCCAGTACATGAAGATCATGACCACCACAAAACCACCGGCCAGCGCAGAGCCATAGACTGCCTGCAGCACACTTCCACACTGGGGCTAAAGTCTGGGGAGAGAGGGCCTCCTGAGATTCAACTGGACTGGAAGACACTTAAAAAGAAACCACACACCACACTCCTCTGCTCTGCTCCTCCTCCTCCTCCTCTTTTTGTGATGAGCATCGGCTTCCTTATCGATAGTCATCGGTGGACTTCCTGTTTGGGTCACGTCGGAGGGGGTGTGTGGGCGTGTCGGCTACATGTCTGCGCAGTTGGGATTTAGTTGCATCACACACTTTACGTGGGTGTCGGATAACAAACAAAATCCACTCACTGGTTCTGGGAGGAGTGAGGATCGGCGTGGTTTTTATCAATCAGCAGAAGGCTGGCGAGGGGGGCTGGTTCTCCCCTCCCCACCTCACTGACCAACTGACTGGCTGACTGAGTTTCCTGACTTACTTGTTTCTGTGTGTGTGTGTGTGTGTGTGTGTGTGTGTAGGCCGAACTTAAGCACTTAAATTGCGTCAAGTGGCTCTATTTTTCTCTTTATCCCTGTCAGTGGAGTGACTTCTGCTGTGGTAGGAGGATTTCAAGAAGTGCTCAACCTAGCTGTAAAATGAATATCATAAAACAATTAGAAGATAAAACAAGAGGTGCTTTCAACTGCCAGACATCTGTAGGAACAAACATGTAAGTTTTAGCTTCATAAATCAGTGCAAAAACAACTATTAATGTTAAAATATTTAGACATTTAACTGGTTGATCGGTGCCTCCTAGCGTAGCCCAACAAAATTATAAGAGTGTGCGAGTGGTCAGTGATTGTTTTTTTTAATGTGTATTAGCTGTGAAAACGTCAGATCAGCATTTGACTGACACAGAGCCTTTCTGTTAGTTTACATTGCTGCTGTCTACTTTCTTGAGTTTTTTTTCCCCCTCTACTTTCTAGACACAGTTCAGCAGCTTCAGTATGTTTTAGTCGTCTTTGTCGATCTAACAAACAGAAAATGTACGCTGCCGTGTTCAGCATCTGCTTCGGTGTTTCTAAGTGTACGTATGTGAAACGTGTAGTGAAATGTTCGTTTCCTTTTTCTTTCTTTTTTTTTTTCTCAAAAATGCCTTTCTTTTGAAATCTGTCTTTGTAACAAACAGCCTTTGGGATGAGTAAGTGGCGGTCCTGGAGCTGCTGATTGTGTCCGAGACGAGAGCACAACCACTGTTAGATGGTTCAAACACTGACTGCCATTTAGAGCTGTGTCACAGTGGAGATCAAGGCACAATCTGTAAATATATAGAGAGAGTTTCTTCTTTTCTTCCCCCATCAATGGTATTCTCCCTGCACTTTATTAGGACGTTAACTGGAATTCCTGACATCTATGTTGCAGTGCATAGACTTCAAATGCTCACTACTTCAGATGGAATCCATGGTCAGTGTTAGCAAATAGTTCCAAAGCTATGTCCTGTGGTATTTCTCTTTTGTGTGACTGCTTGAGCCAGCACAGGTCACATCCTGCTGGTCTCAGTGCCACACAAATGAGGTCCATGCACGTTGTATTCTTGCCTGATTGATGTCTGCTGCAACCAGACAGACAACCTTCAAACTGACCATAAAAGAAGGTACTTTGACTTGAAAATAAAACCGCAGACGGATTAATTTCACATCACTGTGGCCTCGCATATTAAAATGTTGCCCTAGTTCAGCGTTTGAATTGTACAGCTAAACCTGATCGTCCGAGAGCAGTGCAGAAATATCCATTAAACATGTCTCCTCTTGATTGGGTAATCTCACTTGCTTATATGCGCAGCTGGTCAGGCTGTTTGATGTTACGTAAGTAGTAATATCAGTTCTGGATTTATTAGTGCAAGTCCATTTTTTAAGTCCGAAAACCAGGATTAGGAGCTATAAGACATGCCTAATTATTTCCTTTTGGTTTGTTTGCTTATTTTTTTACTCATCTGTAAAGTCACAGAGTGAGAGTCATCTGGGTGCTCTTCCACTTGTTCCAGATCATCTAAATGTAGGCTTTTTTTTTTTTTTAAACAGTAGTCTATGAAGTATATGGATGAAGGTCTCTAGACTGAAAAGAATATTTCAGTGTCACTTTATTTTAAGAGACCGTTGGCAAGACTAAAGCTGGACTTTGCTCTTGCAGAATGGTTTGATATGTAGAAGTATAATGCCAAACTACACCTGAAACTTCACCGTGTTTTGAGAGATATATAGAGATGGGGTGTCGGACTGGAGGTGATGATTTCTCTTCAGATTTCAGTTTGAGAGACAGTAGAGTAGCTATTCCACACTCCCAACTCTTATTTACTGTATGCCCAGCAGCACAAGCTTTAGTTTCCTTGTAAACGTTACAAAACTCTGTTCAAAGGCAGACCTTGACATTTGAATATTTACTTTTGTTCTGGTCATTTTTACTCACCTGACACTTTATTTTTTTTTTCGTTTGACAATCCTTAATCACTGTTGTGTCACTTTTTTCCTCAGAAGAACCACCGTTATCCCCCCTTTGGACTAAAAATGTCAAGGTTTCTCTTAAATTCTATACAAGTCCTCTTATCATCGTTACCAATTTGAATCAACAGAGCTGGATATGAAATTGCCAGAGAAGCAATGGACCAGTTCAGTGAACTACATTATTATTTTTAGTTCAGACTAATTTAAGGATGATTATTTTTTTTCTTTGACATCCATTTGTATGATTTGGCCTGTTTATTATTAACAGCCAGCTTTCCCAGACATGGATTTTCTATTTTTGTTTAGTAATGAATTTGATCCATGAACGAGGGGAAACCTGTTGGATGTTAGAGCAGGCGAAATCAGTAAAGTAACTAACGCTGTCTCACTGTGTGAATGGATGGCTCGTTGTAGTCTTAAAGCTTTTACCTGAAGCCTTTTTGTAATCTGTTAACTCTGAAAGCAGCTCTCGTGGCGTCTGGGAGACCCTAACAGGGCTGCACTCAGACAAAGCACAGAATGTATCACGTTCTAAATGTCTAGGATTTTGTTGATGATTTTTTTTCTTTTTTTTCTTTTGCCAAATCTTTAATTTTCTGTCTGCCATATTCTGCCTAAGCTCATGTTTACAGAAGGTTGTAAAAATTAATTTTGTTGTTTTGTTTTTTCTTAACCCAGTTTGAATTCCTTTTGACTCTGGAGTTATGAAGACTGGACTGCTGTTCTTGAATTAATGTCTCAGCTCTCATTGGCTCTGCATCACTCACATGACTATTTCTGCTCACCGTTTAACCAACAGGCAACTCAAACCACAGTGACAACAAGAGCAGTATTTTAAACCTCATCCAGCATGTAAATTGTCATATCCAACATCACAGTACTTGGTTACAGTGCAGTGTCATTTGCAGTAAAACACAGGCTTCATACAGAGCAGAGATGGTCATGGTGGACTGAAATGGCAACATCAGTGTTTTTGACATTTACTTTGTCCGATAATGCACATTTTTTTGAAGAGTGTAGAGAGAGACAGATATAAAACACAAGTTTGATTCATTTCATCATCACATTGTTTTTTTAAAATGAAATAAAATGTGTGCACTCATTACTGTAAGGCACTTTGGAGAACAGCAGACAGCAAATTTTAAAGGATTAGTGCGACATTTTTGCCGAGAACTGGATGGGAAGTTTGATGCCACACATGTCTGTACGCTAAATCTGAAGCTAATGCTAGCAGGTGTTTAGCTTAGCTTAGTTAGCTTAGCACATATTTTGTTACCTTTGGACAGACTCTAAGTATTTACAGTAGAGGTGGAAATAAATAATCACTTTGCTGATTCGAATCTTCTTTTGTTGTAGTTTGTTCACTTTATTCGAAGTTAATTAAGCAATGACAGTTTAAATGCACTTAAGCACATACGTAAGAAGTCTAGACTATTTGATATTAGAAATGTAATACTTCATGATTTTAACAAAGTTAAAATGACGACTTTGTGAGCCTACAGAACACTCTCCCACACTTTTGTCATGGTATGTTGGCCCAATTTTTTCTCTCCTAACAATTTGGCTGTAATCCTTTACTGTCTAAAAACTTCTACACCCTTCACTTTCCTCTGTCCTGCTGTTACCACAGACTGCTGCCCATGGACTGGTATCTGTCGAATCTGTGCTAAATTAAACATAAAAGTGGTATCAACCTTCTCATCTAACTTGCAAGAAAGCGAATAAACGTTTCCCAAAATGTCGAAATATTCTTTTAATGTTACGAATGGTAAGCTGCACATAAAGACTGACATACTGGGTATCTCACGACTGGCAAACGTTACAGAACGGTTTGAGGGTTTAACTGCTGATACAAGCGTCAGGAACCTCGTCAAAAACAGTGGTGTTGTCCTCTCAAGGTTCCCTCCGTTTAAGCTGGTGTCCTCGCTGTTGTATTAAATATGTAGTTCCTCTAACTGTGTGTAAATGTTAATTAAGGGTTTTCCAAAAGCATTTCAAGTGATCCACACTGAGTGTACAGTACGAACTGTACCAGGGCTCCTTGTCTGATCTTGGACAATTTACAAATGAATTGTCTCAGGCTGCAAACAGCCTGAATCTGACATTATGACTGAAGTGAATTTAAGAAGATAAAATAAATCTCAAGGATTCGGTCCTGTTTTAATGGACTGAGACAGTATTCATAAGACGTGGTACAGTCAGTGAATTGCAAATTAAAGCCCAAGTGTAACTGGGAAGCACTGCAGTCATTACAGTGAGTAATTAATTTGTCATGTGTGACAGTTGCTATAATGACTTCCTCTTTTTCCCCTTTTTTTTGTCAAAGAGGAATTTGTATACAAATGATTAAAATGTACAGTGAAGAACACAAAAAAACCACCTGAGTTTTTAAAAGACATGTCTATTGTAAAGGATAATGTGATGTACATTTTTTAATTTAAGTAAATGAATTTAAGGTATTCTGCTCTTGGTTCTGTCTTCTTTTTGTTCCACTCCTTCACTTTCAGTCACACAGAAATACAAAGGTTATTTAAGGATGATTTTTGGATCCAAACTGCAGTACCTCTACACTGCCACATGAGGTCACTATGAGACCTTAATGAGGAACCAACCTGGATGGGAGGGAATTCTCTTTTTGCTTTCCTTCTCACAGGGAGGTCGGGGTTAGCTGTTCAAGGATTCCTTATGTAGGAATAAGAAAGTGGGTGTTCTTGACGTCTTACCTGGTCCGACCCAGGCTAACTCAATTTCTGTTGTGATTGGACGGCCAAAGAATCAATAAGGTGGTGGATGAGGACATGTTTGCACTTTGCCTAGCGCTTGTGACCTCAGCAAGTTCAAGGAACAACATTTTGAGGCTATTTAAGTGAAACTATTTTTTTTTTTTTTTATCAGGTTCAGATAAGAAAACTCAGTCTGATCATTGTTCTCTACATTTTGGACCAAGATGGTGTGTAGGAATGAAAGTAACAATCACATATTTGCCAACGTGCCCTTGGGTGCTTTTCAACTATAGACGAGGAGGAAAAACAATTACTAAAGCCTTGTAATAAACTACAGGCTGTTGCTGCTTTAAAAGATGATATTCCTATTTTCCCTTGTATATTGTTTATCCCAAGTGACTTGTGGGGTAGATGTATTCATCGGTCACACCTCTTAAATAACAAATCTAACTGTCCAAATGCACTCGAGGGCTTTATGTGGACACATGTAACAGTTTCCTCAAACGACCTTTCACAAATTTCTACATCTGGCAATCTGGCCTAAATAGCACAGTTTCAGCTCTAATTTCAGGTAGCGGCTGACAGCTTCTCTTTGTGTCACCGTAGAAATGAAGTCCAAATTCAAGCTGTGAAAATGTCTGTGAGCTCTGATTGCAAGGTAACATGTGACGCATGATAGTTTTGTGCAGAAAGAGGACGTGAAAAACGGACACCTGAGAAATGTAGGTGTGTAGGTACAGTCTATCCACAGAAATAACCTTAAAGACTTTATTATATTTATACTTTCTGAAATTACTTTTTAGAATATTGAATACGGAATAGTGCTACTGTTAGTGTTATAAGTAGAAACATCGTTCAGCTCTTTCTCCATATTAATGTGTCAGTATGTTTTGGCAGAATAATTTATTAACACAGCACACTAAAGGCTAAAATGGCTGCTCTATATTTCTATTAAACTGGATTTTGTTCTTGGACTGAGCTGAGAGCTGAGATCAACAACAAAAACCAAGATACTATGGTTTAGCTTCAAAAGAACAAAAATCAATCTTGGCTCTAGCTAAAAGCTCCTAACCATCCAAGTTAGAAGAAAATATATACTTATATTGGTGCGTATCAGTTCTAACCTTTAGGTCCCTAGGTTTTTGGTGAAAAAAGGTCTTCACAAAGTATAACACTAAAACTAGAAGTTAGAGATCAGAGACTCACAGCGGCTGCTGGTTATGCACCTTGTCATGTCAGTGTTGTTGAAAGACCGGTTTGCTGATGGTGTGAAGGTTAATAAGGATCCACTGAGATGATGGTTTGCTCAGCTCTGCACTACAGCAGGCATAAAAAACACGAGACCAAAATTCCCTGCCGCCAAATGGATTGTGCTGTGTGTGTATTATCATTATGGACCCATCTGGTGCTGAAGGAGACTGTCTCTACAGCTGAGAGACAGCTCATCAACATGTGGACACTAAAGTTGGACAGTTTATATAATCCGTCCCTTTATTCCCTGCACACACTCTCTTGCGCATGTGCAAAGTTGTCACCACCTCTTTGCATCGAAATCAAGACAAATACAGTCTCTTACTGTGGGCTGAATAGTACAATGCAATATAAGACAAACTTCATAATAATTTCTTTATATTATCCAACAATATTATAATATGTCATGTACCATGTGAATAGTTAATGTTATGTAAATTAAATGTAAATAAATCAAATTAATTTTGTGCAAATAATAATATACTGTGTCTTGATTTTCATGACTCAGGGACATTACTGTTAGAACTTAACTGTGTGGTTTTTAATACTTTGGTAAATTATATAGAATCTCATAATATGAGATATATAGAATAAAAATATTCTATGTCAACATATATATTATGAGATTCTATATATGCTGTAACGCTGATCAGGATATTAACTTTTATCCATATCACCAACACATATTTAGATTGTAGTGTTAACAGGCACTATTTTATATACTTTATATACACTCCCATTGTTTGACTGTTTTGGTGTTTTCAGGTTTAAGTTCTTTTTGGAAAAACAGAAACAATATAACTTCATAAGAGCTCCACAGGTTAAAATGGTTATAACATTCTTGAAGATACCATAACTTGAAGATTTCTATGAATATTATCCCAAATAGCATATATTTGATACATAAATAAGTGAAAAATCCAAGCTTTTATAATAATTAACTAATAAATGCTTATATTATTGACTAATTCACCAAGAACAATACAAAAATAATAAAAGATTTTCTCTTATGTGTTACAATGTATTAAATATTAATTTGTAGTCCTTATCTTTCAGAACTGTAGTCCATACTTAAACTCTGCAAAAAGTTACTTAGCCTATTTTTTAAATAAAGTTTTAAGTCCACTTTACCAAAGTTTACCGAAGATAGAGCGCAAAAGTGCCCTCCCAGATGCCCCTATGGTACATGATAAAGTGCCCTCTAGGCATGCTGTCAGGGCCATTTCCAGACTTTTTTGACTGGGGTGGCAAAAGTTAGTCACTGACTTAAGCAGAGGTTGCATAAAGTATGTGTCTCCGCTTCCCAGTCATTCCCAATTTATGCAAGTCCAGTACTGTTTATGGGCCCCAGTATGCAGAAATATTCAAATACACTAGGTAGAAATAACACATTTATACCACAAAAAAACTGCATGACATTAGCATAAAGAGGGCATCTCTGCAAAGGGGAGACTTGTGGGCATGCTGTACCTCTAAATGGTTAAATAGTTCATAATTCTCTGTGTGTTTTTATGCCAGAGGTGTAGATATACTTAAAATCTATTATTTTCTATTATTATGCCCATTATCATATAATACAAAAAAATTATCTTAACCAGAATTTGGAACTGTTTCACCATAGATGCTACACAACTTTCTCTACACTGGCGCCCCACCACACGCAGCTGCTGCCCACCCCCTCAGTCCGCCACTGTTGGCTTATGTACATGAAAAGCAACATTTCATCCTTTACAGATCTCCTGCAGAGGATCTGTCAAAGCTCAAACGCATACTGTCCCTGAACCCAAAGGGATTATTTTTTCATTGACGCCCCATTCACTGATCTGTGTTGACTTGTGAATGCGAATATATTCCTTCTGTAACACACAGACGCTCACTTTTTCTCTTTGTTCATAAAACACTTCAAGACAGAGGAAGAGAGGTAGTGTCACAAACTTTCATACAGTTAAAGGCAGTTTGAAGAGACACTCTGTAAATGACACCTCAGAGTCATTCAGAGGTTCATTCATTCTGTCTACCCCACTGCTTCGCTTGATGGATTCAGTGTATTTTTAGTCAACCCAAAGGAGACATTGCCAAACATGGCACCATTTACCATTTTTACACCATGACAAAATGGTGACACGGTTTGACACATCAGCTCTGTCTCCTTGTCCATGTTGGGGTGTGTTTGTGCACATCATACACACTCTTAAAGGTCCAGTGTGCGACATTTAGGAGATTCTAATGGCAGAAATGGAATATTATATTCATATGTATGTTTTCATTTGTGTATAATCACCTGAAAATAAGAATTGTTGTGTTTTTGTTCCCGTAGAATGAGCCGTTTATCTACAGACGGAGCGGGTCCTCCATGTTGAGCCACCATGTTTCACCACAGTAGCCCAGAACACACACAAACCAAAAACTGTCTTTAGATAGGGCCTTTCACGGTTTTTGCACGTTTTGTAACCACCTTAGTTTCTCCTACATGCTTGGAATAGGAGGGTGAGTTGAGGGCGTTGCAATTTGCAAGTACGCCACTAGATGTCACTATATCCTACACACTGCACCTTTAAGCCCCTCATCAAAACCTAATTGTATAACTGTTTCCGTATCCTCTAAGTCCTTTTCCTATTGGCATGGAGTCTGCACAGGCATGAAGCAGCAGAGTGTTGAATAAGTCACTGAGCTGCTCATCAATTGCAAACTGTCTTGACTGTCAAGGTAAGAGTACACCGCGAGCAGCAGTACTCCACAACAGAGATGCAACATGGTGTGCAGTCAAGCTGTGAGAGAGCTGGTACAGATACTTCTAACTGTGGTTCAGTCAGTGACCAAGCTCAGGGTGCAAACTACAAGGGAGCCAGGGGGAGCTGGGTTCTTCTTAATAACACATGAGCTCCCCTGAAAACATGATTTGTGAAATTTTGGGGGGGTCTCTAAAATATTGACGACATGCTGTTTTCGCCATGCATTACCATTTTTCTGTATCTTTATCGTTATGTGTAAAATGAGGCAATTATTGATGTATGTGTGTTATGATTTGATGATTAGTATCAGATATGCTGCAGCTATAAATGTGTCTTTGCACGTCACAGAGGAGATTTGTCCTTCAAATACACTGCAGCCTTTAAAGGGTCACTTCAAACAAAAAAGTCCACTTGTAACAACTTAACTTAATATTTTTGACAGCACATACAGCAGGAGGTGTTACCAGAGCTTAAACCGTATCCTTGTGTACAAACACTCAGGACTGTGTGCTGTGTTTGTGTGTGTGTGTGTGTGTGTGAAGTGGCCAGTTACTAGCTGTGGTGGGTTGAGGTGACCTCTGTTTTCTCTGTGTGCGGTAGTGTGTGTGTGTGTGTGTGTGTGTGCCAGAGGAGAGAGGACAGGCATTTGGCTGCCCGGCCATCAGTCATTAGTTAAATGTTGAAATGATGCTTCCCCTGAAGGATAGCAGACCATTCTGGCCATAGCTCTCGCCTCTAGCAGCTGTCAGCACCCAGCA